AATCGTCAAGACCACCATCATCAGGTGGTCCAACATCAATGCCACCACCAACAGGCGTTTCCCAATCGTCAAGGCCGTCACCAACAGGTGTTCCCCAATCGTCTAGACCACCACCATCAGGTGGTCCAACATCTATGCCACCACCAACAGGTGTTCCCCAATCGTCAATGCCCTCAAGTGGATCAACCGCACGGCCCTTTGGAAATGGCTCGTTGAGTTCAGTCCCAGCCAATCAGACATCACCAAGACCACCACCATCAGGTGGTCCAACATCAATGCCATCACCAACGGGTGTTCCCCAATCGTCAATGCCCCCAAGTGGATCAACAGCACGACCGTTTGGCAGTGGCTCGCTGAGTTCAATGCCGGCCAATCAGACATCACCAAGACCACCATCATCAGGTGGTGCAACATCAATGCCACCACCAACAGGTGCTCATCAATCGTCAATGCCCCCTAGTGGATCAACCGCACGGCCCTTTGGAAATGTCTCGTTGAGTTCAATGCCGGCCAATCAGACATCACCAAGACCACCGTCATCAGGTAGTCCAACATCAATGGCACCACCAACAGGTGTTCATCAATCATCAATGCCCCCAAGTGGATCAACAGCACGACGGTTTGGAAATGGCTCTGTAACCTCAATGCCAGGTAGTCAAACATCATCGAATCTGCGAGCCTCAGGCGCTCAAACGTCAATGCCACCACCAACAACGGGTCTTCAAAGATCAACGGTAGGTGCTGGCAGCACAGGAAGACCGTCTGGCACGGTCGCTGTTACGTCATCGACTACAACACTTCCAAACCCGAGTCGGAGACGTCGCCGTCGTGAATCGTTTCCATAACGGTGACACTTATGTTCGCTGAAGTGTGCTCGTTCCATCGAAAATACTGAGTAGTTCTTTTTAGGTGAGATTTCGAAGAGATCGAACTCGTAAAGGATTTTTTGGAATAAACTGGAGTATGATGAAAAGTAATGGCATATATTTTGGGCTCTATTCTTGCTGAGTGAAAAGGTGCTTGAAGAAAGCATTGTTTTACTGGAAAATAGAAGTTGGCTTTGCTCTCCTCAATCGTGAATAGCTATTTCTTTGCATTCATTGAGAGAGGAAAATACGCAACAGACAAGACAAGCACTCTCAAAACGACTCCGCGCGTTTGATATAAATGCGAATAGTATGGACAAATATTGATCTCTATATCTTTCCATTAAATGCGTATTGGAACAATTTTTTTTACTCAACTGATAGGAGTTTGTTGCCTGTTGAAGACTATATTTGGTTTGATGTTGTTACTACCGTCGTAAAGAAAATGTCACGAGAATAAGCGGAAACATTCGCTGAATGAATCTGCAATTTGTATCTTCATTCGTTAAATAAATCATCAAAAACGACAGTTTATTTTTTGAAAAAGCAAGGTATTTGAATAAGAACAATTTATAGGGTATTGAATAAGTATTCGAAACATTGAAAAACGAAATTTTTATCTATTATCCGTTTCAAAATAGAATGTCCGTCGCTGTTTTTTGAACATCTCAAGTCAGGAACAAGCTAGAGGCCTGCGATTTTCACCAATCAAAAGAGGAGACTAAGGGACATCTTTCTCTCCGATAATGCGTAAGAGAAATTCCTTTTAAAACTAATTATTCTCGAAAAACACGTAAAAGAAGGGATGAAAATTACCAGTCATCTAGATAAACATTTGATTTTGACCTTTGATTTAGATAGAGAGACTTCAGATCCATAGTTCAAGATACAATAGAAATGGTTGTCTTATTGCATTCCAACATTGAGCAAATCGCATCATATATTTATATGCGCAAATAATAGGAATTTTTGCTAATTTTTTACTAAACTTTCTCACTTTTTATCATAATAGCTCGACATTGCGATGGAAATGTGATGAAAAGAAAGGAAGCCTATTATATCTTGACCTATAGATCTGAAGTCCCTCTATCTAAATCAAAGGTCAAAATCAAGCTTTTATCTAGATGACAGGTAATTTTCATCCCTTCTTTTACATGTTTTTCGAGAATAATTAGTTTTAAAAGGAATTTCTCTTACGCATTATCGGAGAGAAAGATGTCCCTTAGTCTCCTCTTTTGACTGGTGAAAACCGCAGATCTCTAGCTTGTTCCTGACTTGAGATATTCAAAAAACAGCGACGGACATTCTATTTTGAAACGGATAATAGAAATGGTCACTCAGTAAAACTGTCAAATGAAAAATAAAAACAAGTGGCAGAATCTGTTAATAATATTGTGGTAGCGTTAATCAGTCGGTCATCAGTCCTAATTTACGAAAAACATCATCGGTTATTTACAGGGGACGGTGAAATGCTTGAAAAGTGGATAGTGAAGCTCCCGAAACAGGACTAGAAAAGTTGTGTAAACTTATACAAAACGATTTCTCCGGGTTCCAATATTATTATAGCTGATGAAAAGTATATTA